AATGTAATGTACCACTATCTTCTATCACAGCAATCTCTGCTCTATATGGAAACCCTTCAGCCCATGTATCAGCTTCAGGTTCGGTAAATCAGGAACGCTCTTACTAACAAATGGCACCAGGCAAGGATGTCCCCCAGTGGTCCTTAGTCCCCCTCCTCCTCCTCCCCCGGTGGTCCTTAGTCCCCCCCCTTGTCCCCCAGTGGTCCTTAGTCCCCCTCCTCTTCCTTCCTGCCAATGTAGCGTGGCCAGGCGGCACGGAACGCGGGACAGGAACCTCTGTTTCCTGTACCCGGCCGCTGGCGGACTGACAGGAAGTTTGCACTTCGCTGGCGGCCGGGTACAGGAAACAGAGGTTCCTGTCCCGCGTTCTGCACCGCCTGGCCACGCTACATTGGCAGGAAGGAAGAGGAGGGGGACTAAGGACCACTGGGGGAGGAGGAGGAGGGGGGACTAAGGACCACCGGGGGAGGAGGAGGAGAAGTGGGGACAAAGGACCACTTGGGGAGGAGGAGGGGACTAAGGACTACTGGGGGAGGAGGAGGAGGGGTGGGACTACTAAGAGGGGGAGGGGGGAGTGAGAAGACCACCGGGGGGACTGCAGAGGGACAGGGGGCCAAGGGAGAGCACTAATTGAAAGGAGGGGAGAGCACTGTGAAAATGTTTTAACTAAATAAAGAGATGCACCCCTCTCAGTCCCTATCCTACCCCACAAACCCTCTCTTTTACACTACACACATACACAATTCATCCCCACACACACACACACACACAGAAACATACAATCTATCTTTACTCACACACAGACACACCCGAAACACACAATGCATCCCTTACGCTCACACAAACATTCATTCTCTTACACACAGAAATAAAATGCATCTCTTACACACTCAATGCACCCCTTACGGACACACACTGCATTCAATTACATACACAGAAACACACCTTGCATCCCTTACACACACACACAGAAACATACAATGCATTCTTTACACGCAAACACACACTGCATCCACTATACACACACTACATCCCTTACACTACATTCTGTAAGAACACACACACACACACATTGCATCCTCTACAATAACACATAAAACATCCCCTACACACATACACTCCACTACCTGTGAGAGAACTCATGGGTGGGCCATGTAGGTGGATTTATGGGTGTGCATTGTAGGCATACTCACGGTCAAGCCCTGGGGGGCCCAGACCTTGAGCTGTGTAAGGGGCCCCAAACAATGGTGCTGCTTCCAGTGCTACACCAGACCTGTGGAGCCAGACTGAGCCCATCATCAGCCTCTTGTCCTCATCTGGTGGTAAGTAGGCAATCCAATGTATTATTAGTGGCACTAATCTCTAAAATGTGATGTCACATGGTGGGCAGGACATATGGGGGGGCAGCAATTTGTTTTTTGCCTAGGGCAGCAAAAATCCTTGCACCGGCCCTGTGGGTCAGTATACACATAGCAAAAACCAAGGAAAGTCATAATGAGAGAATAATATATAGAATAGTTAGAGAGAAAGCTCAAGGTCAAGAGAAGCAAAACATCCAAAATACAATAAAGTACACTCTTGCGTAATCAAGAACCACAACAGGGCAACTTGCTACAGAAAGCCCTGGCTTTACATGGCCAGGAAACTAAAACTATTGACTGGCGTCTAACTTGGAGGGCCTGAAGACTTGAATTAGGCCAAATGCAGAATTTTGGTACTTAGTTTGTTCATTCGTACCTACCAAATCGGCACTTTGAGTCACGCCGTTCTGACGTTGGAGCAACTGTACACAAATAGAAGCACACCCACCGTTGGATAAGGGAACTCTGGAATGGGCAAGTATTACAGTACCTCCCCCTTCAGCATCACCCAAGAAGCACAGAGCAGAATGCTTGAGAGGAAATTAAGCATTAAATCCGTGGAGAAGGTGAGGAGCGTGAACATTAACAATGCCCCTTCCAATAGACAAGATAATGCAATAAACCATGAGAATATCTAGCTTACCAACCTGATAAAAAGGGACAGGTCTCCGATGCTTTTGGACTTTTGGGAAATAGCAGCATTCTTCAAGGAAATCGTAACCCTTTCCCAAATAGAATGCAAATCCTTAATATGTGCATCCAGGAAAGATATGCCTCTGTTGGAAAAAACAACTGGAAGCACACTGGGTTGTATCCCATAGACAACAAAGAAAGGACATTGACAGTAGATTCATGTGGAGTAATGTTCCTGGCATATATTTAGCCTAAGGTAACAGAGCAGTCCATGTACCTTGATGCAATGTCATGAAACTTCGTATGTAAGTTTCAAGAGACTAATTAGCCCTTTCTGCAACCCCATTAGACTGAGGATGATAGGCTGAAGAAAAAACAGATGAATGCCAATTTCAGAACAGAACCCCTTCCAAAACAGAAAGATGAATTGTGTAATATCACATACAATTTCCTCAGGTATGCCATGAAGCCTGACTATATCTTAGGAAAAGATTTTAGCTAAGTGTTCAGCAGTAGATAATTTCTTCAATGGTATGAAGTGAGCCATCTTTGAGAACCTGTCTACTAATAAGAGTTTAATGGTATTGCCTTCTGAGGGTGGTAAATTAACTATAAAGTTCATAGACAGATATATCCATGGTTTAGAGGGCAGAGGGTTCTTCTGGCGGCCGCAGGGGGAGCAGGCTGTTCTGTCTCTGCTCCCCGCCCTCGCGCGCTACTTAATTAGACCGGGGCCAGAATATGATGTCATATTCCGGCCCCGGTCTCATTAAGCTGTGCGCTGGGGAGCAGAGACAGAACAGCCTGCTCCCCCTGCGGCCGCAAGAAGAGCTCCCCCTGCGGCCGCCATCCAAGTTCACCCTGCGACCGCCAGCACACCTATCTGTCTGCCCATCCACAGGTAGCAGTGGGAGTGTGTGTGTGTGTCTGTGTCATGCTGTGTGTTTCTGTCTGTGTCATGCTGTGTGTATCTGTCTGTCATGGTGTGTGTGTGTGTGTTTGTTTCTGTCTGTGTCATGCTGTGTGTGTCTGTCTGTCATGGTGTGTCTGTCTGTGTCATGGTGTGTGTGTGTGTCTGTGTCATGGTGTGTGTGTGTGTGGCTGTCTGTCTGTGTCATAGTGTGTGTGTGTCTGTCTGTCTGTCTGTGTCATGGTGTGTGTGTCTGTGTCATTGTGTGTGTCTGTCTGTGTCATGGTGTGTGTCTGTGTCATGGTGTGTGTGTGTGTCGGTCTGTGTCATGTGTGTCATGTGTCTGTGTCATGGTGTGTGTGTCTGTGTCACGGTGTGTCTGTATCATGGTGTGTATGTGTCTGTCTGTGTCATGGCCTGTGTCATGGTATGTCTGTCATTGTATGTGTGTATGTCAAGGTGTGTGTATGTCTGTCACGGTGTGTGTGTCTGTCATGGTATCTGTATGTGTCATGGGGTGTGTGTGTTTTTAAAAATAATGTTTTACTCACTTTTTTTTTCCCAACGTCGTGCTGGTCTTCCCTTGACTGGCCCTGCCTCTTTGACTGAGATCATCAAGCTTGATGATCTCAGCCAATCCGCACTGACACATGAAGCGCCTCTAGTGACCGTCAGAGTGTCTGTCACTAGAGGTGTCACTAGGAAGCAATGTAAACACTGCATTTTCTCTGAAAAGTCAGTGTTTACATTCAAAAGCCTGCAGGGACAGGCTATAGACACCATAACCACTACATAAAGCTGTGTGTGTTTGCGTCTGGTAGTGAGTGAGCTTGTGTTTTTATGTCAATGAGCTTATGTATATCAGTGAGATTGTTTGTCTATGAGGCTGTGTATCAATGAACTTGTGTGTGTCAGTGAGATTGTCTGTGTCTGCATGTGAGTATGCTTACTGTATAATTAAATGTTTTACTCTGAAAGGACCAATATTTTATATTATAAAAAGCAATATATTATATATATATATATATATATATGTGTATATATATATATATATATATACAATATATATATATATATATATATATATATTACTCAATCATCTGGGGTGGCAAGACATAGCCTTACATAATACATGCGACAATATATGACTTATGGGGCTGGCACAGATTTCTTTTCAGAGCTGCTTTGTATCCCCAGTCCGGCCCTGGTAGCTTGTATCCCACAAGGGGTTAAAATCCTTAAAGTATGTCAATTATATAGTGTAGCAGACAGAGTGCTTACTGTAAAAGATTTTATTAGCACAAAAACACTGTCAGAACAATACACACACATATATATATATATATATATATATATATATATATATATATATATATATGGCTTAATAGTAATGTCCCAAGTAAGAAAGCAAAAAATACCAGGTTTGCAGACTAAGGGTCCAATGCTGTTTGTATCTCTCTTTCACTGGCCGGATAAAAGTGAGTCTGGACCTCCTCGTGCTGTATCAACACTGGCTGTCAGCCGCGTGCGTTCCACTGCATCTCTGGATGCGTTCCAGTCTGCTGTCTCTTGGGAATCAGTGTAGAATGCCTACCATATAAAAATCTGTTTCAAAAATGATATAACCCAGAATCTAAACACTAGAGTGATGAAATTAACATTTCTCCAATTTACAAAATAATCCATTCTCTAGTAACCTGGATAAAACCAGTCTGACATGTTTATAATGTGTTTCAAGATTAGGTGAATGTACAAGAAAGTAATTGAGATATACAACAAAGCATAAGGGTAACAAATCTATCAAAACACCATTGATGATGTCCTGGAAGATGGCCAGGGCATTGCATAAATCAAATTGCATAACTAAATGCGCATAATGCTCACTACGGGTATTAAAAGCCATCTTCCACTTGTCTCCTTCACAGATCCTAACCAAATGATAAGCACCCCTGAGGTCTAATTTACTAAATACCTTGGAACCTTTATGATAGTCAAACAAATTCAGTATTCAAGTAGTGATGTCCCGAACGGTTCGCCGAACGGTTCGCCATGGACGGCGAACATATGCGGTAAACTTTGACCCTGTACCTCACAGTCAGCAGACACATTCCAGCCAATCAGCAGCAGACCCTCCCAGACCCTCCCACCTCCTGGACAGCATCCATTTTACATTCATTGTGAAGCTGCATTCTTAGTGAGCTGTCCAGGAGGTGGGAGGGTCTGGGAGGGAGGGTCTGCTGCTGATTGGCTGGAATGTGGCTGCTGACTGTGAGGTACAGGGTCAAAGTTTACCGCATATGTTCGCCGTCTGCGGCGAACCGTTCGGGACATCACTATATTCAAGGGTATGGGATAAACATTATGAACTGTAATACAATTCAGCCCCCTATAATCTTTACAAGGTCTTAAGTCACCTTTTTTTTTAGATACAAGAAGAACCCTGCTCCAGCAGGGGAAGAGATCAAATACCTCACTGAGATCTATGTATTGTGGAGGAACTACAATTGATAGAGGGGTAGCAGTAGGAACATTGATTGTTAATGTGGGTTTAACTGGAGTAAGACATTCTTGATGGCACATTGTACTCCATTTAGTTATCTCCTCACACTCCCAATCAATCACTGAGTTGTGTTTGACCAACCAAAGGAAACCCTATACAAGAGGACAGGTCAGACAGGGCAAAACTTGAAAGACAGTGCTTTCTGTATGCAAGACACCAACAGACATAGAGATGGGTCTGGTCTCATGAGTAACGAGATGCGTACAAAGTGGTATATCATCTATGGCCTCAATGTCCAATGGTGTTGCCTTTAGGAGGACAGGAACAGCAGAATCAGAAACAAAAGTGGTATTTATTACATTTTCTGTTGCTCCTGAATCTATCAAGGCTTTGACGAGGATGTTATTCTCTTGCATTTTAAGAAATACAGATAATATAAATCTAGATGTTTCAGGTACAGGGACAAAATCATCACACCCAAGGCCAGACCCCTGATAGGCCTTAGGTGTGAGAATTATTTAATTTAGATGGCAATTTCTTAGCAACAAATATTCAAGGATGTTATCAGCTAATTCTTCCTGAAAGGCAGTAACCAAGCTACTGTTGGTACAGACTACTTAGAAGCTAGCGTTCTGACAGGGCCAATTGTGGTTGGCTGCACGGGGTGCACACGCTCAGGTACTCTGTAGCTAAAGGTTTTTTTGTGGCAGTAAGCCCTTACAGTAGGCTCTGCCTCTTACACTCAGCTGCACACCCTGAATTAGGCAGGACTTAGCTCACTCAGCACCTGAGACCACCTCCCTGGCCCAAGGTAAAGCCACCTTCTGGCCTAAGGTAAAGACTCAGGGAGGGAGGAATAAACTATTTTTTTCTTTAGCCCCTACTGGCCAATTGCAGCCATTAGCCCTACTACAGCCCCTCACCACTACAGCCCCTAACACATCATAGTACCGCCCATTACACTCTACTACAGCCCATAACCCTTCAATTGCTGCCCCTAATTGCTGCTCATATACCCTACTACAGTCCCTATACCCCAATTGCTTCTCCTATACCCTACTGCAGCCCTTACCCCCAATTGCTGCCCCTATACCCTACTAGAGCCCTAACCCCCCACTCCTGCCCCTATATCCTACTACAACCCATAAACCTCCTACTAAAGTCATTGTAACCCAACAGCAGCCCCCACTATTCCTCCACTGCAGCCTTGACCCCTACTACAGCCCCATACCCCTAATATAGTCCCTTACTACAGTCTTCCACTACAGTCCCCACTGCAGCCCCTACCCAACCCATGCAACCATAGCCCACACTACAGTTCCTGCCCCCAAATATAGCCCATATCTTCCACTACAGTGCCTATCCTCCAATTACAGCCTTTATCATTCCAATTTCAGCCAATATCCCCCACTACAGCCCCTAACTCCTCTACTACAAGCTCTATCCCCATTTAGCTGATATGTCAAGAGCCTTATCAGCTAAATGGTTAATTAGGAATGCAATCTTTGCTCTTTCCATCTGAAAAGAACAGGGGTTCATTTTAAAATGGTTGCTCACCTGGATGATAAAATCACGGCAATTCAGTGGATCTCTACCATATCATTGTGGAGGTTTCATATGAGCAGGGGGAGCATAATGAGTGTTCTCATTGGTAGCAGATTGTGCCTTAAGCTGTAGTACATTGTAATATGGTAATACTACAACATATATTTCTCCTGTTTCCCCCCCACTACAGCCCTAGCCCCCACTACAGGTCCTCTCCCCCAATTGCAGCCCATATCCCCTAAACTACATCCCCTTTCTCGAATTGCAACCATCCCTAAATTCAGCCCCTAAGCCCCCTACTACAGTCTCTATCCCCCAATAGATTTTCTACCCTCCCAATTATAGCCCATAACCTCCACAGCCTCTAACATCCTACTAGAGTCCATACCTCTCCACTACAACCCCTACCTTCACACTACAGCCACTATCCCCCACTACATACACTGTCCCCCACTGCAGCCCCTAGCTATTTACTACAGCCCCTAACTCCTCAATTAAAGTCCCTATCACCCCACTACAGCCAACTACCAGTGCCCCTCCTGAGATAATGTAATATTTGCTCTTTCCATAGGTAAAGAGCATTGATTAATTTTAAAATGGATGCTGATCTGAAAGATAAAATCATGGCAATTCAATGGATCTCTACCATATCGTTGTAAAGGTTTCATATGAGCAGGGGGAGCATAATGAGTGCTCTCATTGGTAGCAGATTGTGCCTTAAGCTGCAAGTGAGTAGTATATTGTAATATGGTCTGGAGGGCCTGGGTGAATTGATCCATATGATGATCAAGCCCATCCATTTTCACTCCTTGTACTGCCATCTGCTGAGACTAATCCATAGGGTCCGTAGTGGAACTGTTGTACTGACACTGTTACATAGGGGTACCCAACACTCACAGATCCTAATCTGCTTAATAGATATGTACCACGTATTACCAGGCCTTAGAATGGTCAGATTTAACATATAGAATAGTCAGAGAGAGGTCAAGAGTAGGATAAAACAGAACAAACAATAAACAAGCCAAAGTCAGTAACACAGAGAGTAGAGAGATAGTTAAACAAGACAAAGTTAGGAACAAGAAATCGAAAATACAACAATACTTGGGTAATCAAGAACCACAACAGGGAAACGTGTTACAGAAAGCCCTGACCTTATATAGCCAGGGCACTAAAACTATTGGCTGCCGTCACCTTGGCCAAACGCTGAATTTGGGTACTTAGTCTGTTCATTCATGCTGACCAGACTAAGTACGCCGGATTTAGGTACTTCATATGTTCATTCATGCCGACACTTAGAGTAATGCCATTCTGACATTGGCGCAACTGTACACAAATAGACGCACAAACATAGCATGCAGCGTCTCACCTGCCGTTGGATTGGGAAGCTCCAGAACGGGTAAGTATTACACTTAATTGATGAAGAAATAACAAAGAAATAGCTCTCACCTGTCCATGACACAGCTTTTTTTTTTGTCAATCTTGCTTTATTCTTAATCCACAAGGTTATACAGGCAGCACACAATAAAATAATCAAGAAACAAAATGAGATACAAAACAATGCTGGCTAGCTATGCCTGTCAAAGCTAGGTTGTGGGGATAAAGGGCTTTAAATTTAAGGGTAATAAAAATATAAATATTAATTACAAATATAAATTGTATCTGCCATCCCTGAAGCAGATATCTTAGTTGGGAGTGTTATCTGTGAGAGGGTAATGAAGGCTATGAGCCTCTTAGGTGGGTAGCTGTGTGTATAACTAATTAGCAAACCTGGTGGCTAGCACCAACTGAGCTGGACCTTAACAAAGTACTCAAAGCTAAGGAAAGTGGGGGAAGAGAGAAAGTGGGGAAATAAACCCCCAATACCAGCAGAAGATAATAGGATGACGTGTCTCAGAGGACACTCATCATGGAGTAAATATTTTCGTGGTATCTAACAAAACAAAACATAAACTGTAAGATACACTAAAAAATAAACTAAATAAAACAATGGAAAAAAGAAGAACAATATCCCAGACATCCACTACAATGGAGATGGGTGTATGGGAATTAGTACAACCTAAAATAGATAGTAGCAAAACACAAAACAATATACCTTTAATTAAATCTAAAATTGTAGAGCTACTATCTAAAAGAGAGTCCTAAATAGGAAACAAATGTCTGTATACCAGGTAATGTGGTGTCAACCCTATGAGACAAATAAGGGTTATATATAGCGTACCCCTTGAGAGGAATAACCTTCTACCAAGCAGCACCTAGTAAGGAGTAATTGTGGAACATAAAGGGATAATCAGTACCCTATTCCAAAAGAAAAAAAACTCCTGGGTATTAGCCAGTAAAAAATTATGAAAAATGAATATGAGAGAGACAGAGAAACTCCCAAAAACAGTTATGTAAAATCACTACCAGGTTCCCACCATAACCACCATACCTGCGCGGCGGATGGGGGCCCTAAATAAAAATTGGGGGGGACCTAATGTCCTCCCCCCAGCCCCCACCCCTGCGTGGCGGGTGGGGGCCCTAAATAACAATAAGGGGGGGACCTACTGTCTTCCCCCCGGCCCCCACCCCTGAGCGGTGGGTGGGGGCCATAAATAAAAATCCCCCCACACCTCCCAGGTGACTAGGGGTCCCCAAACTCCTAGTCACCCCTCTCCCCCCAAAAAATAACCCCTACAAGGGGACCCTTGTCTAAATACCTGTAAAAAAAAATAGACTTACCATTTGATGTCTTCTTTCTTCTAAAATCTTTTTTCAACCCCAAAAAAGGCTAAATAAAAATCCAGAATAACCGACGCACTTTTAAAAAAAAAAACAAGTGCAAAAAAATAATAATCCTTCTTCATCAATGGAGGGCTCCACTCAGACTGAGCACTGCAGGGCTGAGGAAGGCTTATAAAGCCATGCTCCACCCTGCAATTAGGCTCAGAGCACTCTGATTGGTGGGTTTAAGCCATCCAATCAAAGTGCTCTGACAGGTAAATGAAGAGACTGACAGGTAAGACTCTACATTTTTAAATGCACTAACGAGATAGCATAGAAATAAGCGCTCACAAGGTGCCTCCCCTGATGATATGGGGGCTAGTAATCCCCTTGCCAATGCTAGGTAGCCAATGGTACACGGGACTCCAAGTAGATGATGGTCAAAATCTAATTATTTTATTTGTTTAGAAGGTGAAAAACACCATAAGTATAAAAAATAAGAATGCAGCAATAGGTCCA